TCTATGAAAATCGTGGAAAATTGCCAAAACGGTTTGAGAGGATATTATGTACCATAGACTTCTTGTAAATGCTGTTGCAATGTGGGCTTCGCCTCGTTTATGCTTGGTATATTTACAGACTCTCTTGACGAAATTCATAGACAAGAACGTGAAGAGCTAGAGAACAAGCTTGAAGCAAAAGACAAAAGCGTTCAGAAAAGAATACCACGTTCGTACCAAAAGGTAAGGAAAAGAACTATAAGTATATGATTTATACTGAAGAGATGGAAAATGAAGAAGACAGAGATATGGTTATGTTGCATTTAGTCAGAAAGAAACAACAAAAGCTTTTACGACCTTGCTAAAGATTTACAAATCTGACAGAAATTGGTTTATCCGCGAAAACTTTACCGATTTCAATGACCCCAAATGAAGATGTGAAGCAAATAGTTCAAGATAACGTTACCTCAGACACACTACAGAGTTCATGACATTGAAACACTTATGTCAAAAGTTTTATATCTTAACTATACAAATGTTTTCAAAGAGGACATAGAAAAAATATATTGAGGGTATAGAGTTTGTGAGATGTCATTGGACAGAGTTGTATGAAAAATATAAAGACAAGGAAAATGTTTTCTTTATAGTGGACCCGCCGTTCTATAACACATGGGATTTTCAATACCAAGTAGACTGGACTTTGAGAGACTCTTTAGAAACTTTTAGACGTTTTAACATAACCATCCATGCTTTTACTTTACATCCGATAAAAGTGGCTTGGAAACCGTTATGAGATGGTTAGAGGACATACATGACTATGAGTTTATATATGACAAGATAGAATATGAGAGAGGTCCTATAAACTGGAGAAAGTGTCATAACAAAGAAATTTTACTAGTAAGTAAATGTGGTTTGAAATAGGACTACTTGTTTTAGGTTTTTTCCATTGTGTGTCATTTACTTATTTGACGTGGCAGAAAGATATAGAGAATATGAAGATGAACCAATGCCTGCAAATGTTCAGTATATGTACTCGTAAGAGATATTTTTATCTAATATTAAAATGGACGCACAGAACTTAGCGAATGCACAGCAACCTGGACAACCAAACCCAGAGAATATTCCAAATGAAGTTAGAATACAAACTGCAATGGCAAAACTATGGTCAAGTGCCAACAGATGTACAAATGCAAACTGCCATGTCAAATGACGCTGCGTTAGGCTTACCACCATGGTATGCAAATATGAGATGGAAAGAGTTTTATACAAACCCTGAAGTGGGATATAAACAACTCTATGCAGATGACGCGAACACAGGAGTTGACCCAGAATATGTTTTCTACCAGAGGAGAAACAGAATGTATGAGCTCCAGTTAAAGAATGCTATGGAACTCAACAGGAAACGTAAGAGACTAGGCGGACATTAGATTTTTACATATAGTAAAATGGGTTTCTTCAGTAAGATAGGAAACTTCTTTCGAAATGTTGGAAGAGGTATATGGAATGGAATAAAAACCGTAGGAAGAGGAATTGGAACGGTGTCAAAAATATTGGTAAAAGAGTAGGTCAGTTCGTTGGTATTATACCTAAAGACCCTGAACCAGAAGAACAAGCTCCTGTTATACAACAGCCTGAACCTGCACCACAGTCTAGTTTGGCAACCAAATCCAACACCTCAACCGTATTAAAAAATCATATTTTTACCGTTCGATAGTAGTTGTATATGAACTAAGTTCTAAGAAAACGCTGGTATAATGGAATTATTCTCTTTCTTCCATCTGTAGTAAACCATACTTGAAAGTCTGAAATACTTCCACTCGGCGGTTCATATAGCTTTGTAGGTTTTTCGTAAAAGTCGTTTGCCAAGCATAAAAAAGAGTTTTGTGCACCAGAAAATGAAGCATGAACTATAATAGCATCTGAGTCGAAAACATTTTCATATGTTCCATTAGGGTTTTCGACTTCATAAAAGTTCGGGTGTACTGGATATTCTGCAGGCTGATTTAACATCCTCAAAAATCTATACCATGCCAAGTTGTTATATTTTGTAGAAATATAAACGTCTTCTCCAAGGTCTTCTATTCCTATTGATTTTAACAGTTGCATTTTTCCTGTCATATATAATATCGAGATGGTACTCTCCTTCGTCAATGTTGTACTGTTTTGCAATATTCGAGATAGATATCGTTTATTTTTTCTTGAAAAGCTTGAAGAGTTGTTTCTAAGTTTACAAGCAAATTCACTTGTAAAAGTTTTCCCTGTTCAAATTTTCTCATACGTACGTTTTTCTTTGTTATAGTATCGAACTTCAAAAGCGACCGTAAATGGGAAACCATGTATGGCTTCTGAAATGAACTTTCATTCTACGAAAGCCAATAGCTTTTGTGACGATGGGTCTCTTAACCATCTTAAGGGTAGTCAAAACGATAGCCTTCATGCTTTACGGTCTCTGTCTCAAACTTTTGACCGACATTAGTAAAAAGTTCATCTAATGGTTTAGTTGTAGCAACTCTTGAATTTTTCTTTTCTATTGGAAGCATATTTTATCTAGAATAAAAATGTCAAAGAAACAGCGTCTATGAGAGAAATACAACACAACCGACAACTCATTGTACAAGCTCTAAATAAGAACACAACAAACTTTTCAAACTATTCTAAGATATCTGAGTCATTGAAAGAAGGAAACTTAAAACTGACATTAAACCCAATGACAGACGAGTTTCTATTTCAAGACAGTAAGAACCATACTGTTGTATAAATCCAACAAAAGAACTTTAAACGAGAAACCTATAGATGAACTTCTTTTGAAAGCAGATATTGACAACAAAGCTGACAAAGAATATGTAGATGCAACAAGAGACTATATTCTCGCATGGACAGATAGAACATACCCACAAAAACATCATACACATAACATCTATGACGTAGATGAACTACCAGCAATGTTAGATGACAAAGCAGATAAAACATATGTTGACAATAAAATGTCAAGTGAAGTGACAAGAGCTGACAAAGAATATTCTAAAAAGACTCATACACATACCATATCTGATATTACAAACTTACAAGAAACCTTAAACAGGAAAAGTGACGTTGGACATACACACGATTTCTTCGCAACTGTTGGTATAGAAAATATTGAAGGAACGGTTGAAGAAACTGGTGGGGATGTATTAAATTGGAAACCTCCTAACTTTCCACAAGGTTTAACATCGGAAGAAGACATAACAACGATGAGATACATTAGATGTAGAAATGTCTATGTCATGGAGGATGAAAACAAAGTTAAATTCACTGCTCAAGATTTATATGATAAAAAGCTGACAAAACATATGTTAACGATGAGTTAGATAAAAAAGCTGACAAAACAGAGCTTCAAACGTTAAAGACAGAAATACTTCAAACAGTATATCCTATAGGCTATTTATACGTCAATGAACTCTACCAGACCAGAAAGTTCTGGTTTTGGAACTTGGACTCAAATAGTCGACAGGTTTTTGTATTGTGCAAACTCTTCAAAGGAAACAGGTGGAAGTAAAACGATTTCAGGTGAAAATTTACCTGCACACAGTCACTACATAAATTTAAGTACATCTCAAGCAGGTTGGCATAAGCATAGAATTTTGGGATTGGTCAGGAATGAAAAAGGTAAAGGATATGATGTTAAAGACGACGTTAAGTTTGCTATAAATTGTTACTGGAGTGACACTCAGGGAGAGGAAACCATACACATCGCGTTTCAGGATATACGCAAACAACGGGACAAAGTAAAGACTACATGCCACCTTACATGACAGTTTACGCATGGTATAGAATTGCTTAGTCGTCATTTTCAACTTCTTTAGCATATTCGTCAGGAGTTGTCTTATATTTGTTAGGAACTGTCTTTGAAAGTATACCACCTTGAACTTTGACAAGTTTGAAACGAGGTCTGACAATAGTAGTTTTATCTTCTGCTTGCAGTCTGTACATTTTGCCATGTTTGCCTAAAACTTCATAATATTCTCTTGTATACTTTCTTCTATTTTTACGAACACGAATGCGAGTACCTGTCGAGTTCCCATTGTTGTCATAGTCAATAGTATTTTCATATGGGTCGCGTTTAGGTATTTCTATTTTTACTTTGTCACCTTTCTTAAGTTTGAAGCCTGGCATTCTTTCTTGTTTGTCTCTTTTGACTAAACTATTAAATATATAGTCTTTCTCTAAGTCGGGTTGTTTTTCATTTCTTCGGGGGAGTGGTTTCCCAAACCTTTTTGTTTACGGCTATTGTAAATATTTAAAACTTGTCTCATCTTTGCCATGGAGAAGTGTCTATATTTGTCGTCATATGACATTTCATTACTTCACCACCTTGTGGTTGGTTTAAGTCTCTTAAGATTTTTATACAACTGTCAATGACACCAAGAGCAGAATGGTTTTGGTCGACAATGAAATATTGGTTTACATTTTTTGAACGCAGATAGTTTTTAATATCGTCTGATTTGAAAGAACTTTCACAGTCAGATGTCAGTTTTGTTGGATGGTATTTGTCAACGAATATTGTCAAAGCAGTTTTCACATCTAAAATATTTTTGGACTGTAATGGTATGGCTTCACAGTATCTTGTGTTTTGACCGACAAATATTAGCCAGTATGGTGGTCCATCTTCTCTATACCTCGGAATGTTTTCCAAGATATCCATAAACCAAGCATTTGGTGTTGAACTAAAGATTTTTATCATGAGTGCTTTCTTTGTTGCTTTAGAAACATAGGGGTCCTTGTTTGGATTCGTCATTTTTTACCCTATAAGAAATGGGTTTATTTGGCGCATTAGCAGGAGTTGCATCCAGATTTTTGCCCGCAGTGGGAACAATAGCAGAGGTGCATTTGGAATTGGAAGGAAGATTTTGAGTACATTAGGTATACTGAAAGAGAAAGCACAACCTATTATACAAACTGTACAGAAAGGTTGGGATGTAGCACGAGATGCAGCAAATCTTATTCCAAATCCTGAAACAAGAGGAAAAGTTCAAGGATGGATGGACAATGTAGGAAGACAAGCAGGAAACTACTATAACAAAGCAAATGACTACTATAACCAAGCAGGGCACTATATGGACCAAGGTGAAAGATTCTTTAACAGAGGATATAACCATGCACAACAGTGGGTAAACAACAACCAACCGCAACCGCCTCAAACGTGGGGAATGTAAATTTTTTACTGAGATGAAATGAACAATACAGCATTGAGACAAATGGGTTCAAGATGGATTTGTCGACTTCCAGCAGTTACACAACCACGTGTTTGTCAAGTTCTTCCTATACCTCAGGAAGTTTTAGACCGACTTAAAAAACCTAAACAACCAGTTGAAAACAAACCAAACTAAAATTTTTTACTGAGATGAAATGACCGAAGAAGTTGAAACGGTAGATTTGACACCACAAACAAAAAGTTCAGAACCATTGTCAAAACCTGTCAAAGAACTTACAGATGAAGAGAAAAATTCAATAATAGAAAGTGCCAGGTCTGGAAATACAAACCCTAACTACAAAGTCACTTTTCATAGAAATGGAACGGCTAGTATCTCAAAAAAGAAACAGACTCTCACAAATAAAATATTGAAGTCTGAAGGAGCTTTCGAGACAACAGATGGAAAAGTTTACTTCACTGACCAACAGTTCATTATAGAACATCTCATTGACTTAGAGTCGAAATATTCTAAACTTTACAACAAACACAAAAAGTTGAAAGGAAAACAAAAACAAATGGCATATGATATTTATGAAGATGTTGACGACACAACCATACCTGCAAGTGAGGTAAAGTCAGAGGAACCGAAAAGTGACGAAAAACCGATAGAAGAAGAAGCCAAAAACTGAAGATAAACCAAAACCAAAGTTTAGTTTCCAAACTAAACCAAGTCAACCTTCATTAGCTGGTATGGGTTGGCGTCAAAGACTTATGGCAGCAGGCGGTTATGTAAAGTAAAGAAAAAAATATTTTTTTATTTTTATAAAAATGCCCCCATATAGAATGGATAGAAAATCTGCTAGAATAAAAGCAGAGTTAGAAAGATATGGTTGGAAAGTTTCGAAAATTTAAATATAGGAAGGGAAGACCCATAAAAGTCTATGACAAATTGTCTGGTCTTCGCTACGAAATGGACTTGGAAACAGCACGCGCAAATTATCCAAACAGACTAGAGAGGTTAGAAGAAGAACGTCTTATGGACATGCCTTTCGATGTTAGTGAACCTCAAGTTGAAGGACACGACGGCTTTGCCAGATTCTACTGGAAACATGACGAACAATTGCATCCTTTGAGAAGGAAAAAAGGAAAAGGTGAAGACACATGCTCCCATGGAAAGAACAAGATATGCATATGAAAAGTACGTGAAGTTAGAAGTCAAATTACATCTGGTCGAACCTTTACAGTAAACTTTGACGAAGGAAAGAACAAAGAAGGCTTCATGGGAGTACTTGCTGCAATTCAAGACGGAAATAAGAAAGGATACAATCTCAGACTAACCGTAACAGATTTGGACGGTCACATTTACTATGCACATGGCAATGTCACAACAGCTGCAATGCTTCTTGACGCTTTCAAGACTACAAAGAGAGAACAAATGGTTGACTCCGACTCAGACATTTTGAATGCAATTGAAGGAATTGCAAGTGTAAGTTCGAATGGTACCAACCTAACCCTCAAGCAGTCAGACAACATGCTGGATACTTCCCGTTCATAAATAAGTCTGACATTGACTTGACAAGGTATGGAATTTACAATTCAATTGAAACAATTGTCAATGAACCTTGTATTCTTACATGTCTCAGGAACTCTGGTCTTGTTACAGATGAGAAGATGAAGTATCTTGAGTCATGTGTGAAGACAAGGTACATTCTCAGAGGTCAATTGGCAAAAATTGCACCGTTGGCAAATGTCAATATCCGAGTCAACATACCTACAGCTAAAGGTTCTTCACATGACGACTATGTTGTTGACAAAGACTTACCATGGTTGAAGATTGCAATTGTCCACAACCACTTCATGTTGAACGAAAGTCTTACAAACCCATTGTTCGGAAAAGGCAAGTGCAACATTGTCAGAGCTGTAAACATTCTTTTCGAGAAAGGTTTGTTGGAACCAATTCCAGATGACAAGCTGACAGAAACTTTTGTACCAAAAGACGAAACAAACTTTTCATTGTTAGCAAGACCAAAAGTTGTTCCAGACAAAGTTCTAGTACAAAAGAAGTACACAGTTCCAAAAGGAGTTGGATTGTTCGGATACCAACCTGAACCAGAAGAACTTCCAATGAGGTTGCAAGAACTTCAAGATGCTATAAACAAACTTCCATTGAGACATCCAATTGACGTCAAATTGTATTGGAGAGCATCTGAGTTAGGTCAGAAGGTTTTATATGAAACAGGTTGCTTCGACGATGTTTATGAGATAACAGGCGAAGTTTCTCAGAAGATAAGAGACTCACTTGAATTTCCACGAACTGGACCCATTGGTTGCGACAAGTTCGACTCATGAAAAGATATACTATGTCGACCTTAACGCTGCGTACATGAGGTTCGTCCAATATATCCCGACTGGAATTCCAAACGAAGATGGTGAGTTCCCAGGAAGGAACTATACAGTTGGAAAAGTCATACAACAACTGTATGATATTAGGAAAGCTTCAAACCCCAAACTTGCAATGACACTCAAATTGCTTATGAATTCGACATGGGGATATTCCATTAAGAAACCTCAAGAGATGAAGAGTAAACATTATGAGAAGGTCGACAACTTTGTTGAAAGGTTTTCTCCTTTTGTTTTGAAGTACGAATTCACTCAAGGTCAAAGTGGCTTAGTAACCACATTAAAACCTATTGTCGAACATTGGTCTACCCTCAGTTCGCAAAGGCAGTCCTTGACAACTACAACAAATTCTTCTCCGAAGTCAAATCGAAAGTTGTGGTTTACTATGAGAACATTGACGCACTCATGACGAACGAAGAAGGCTACAACAAACTCATTGAAATGGGCATGGTCGGTGAAAAGATGGGTCAATTCAAATTGGACAAAATTTTCACCGAAGTTCATGTCCTCTCCAAGCGTAAGTACTGGGGCATACTTGAAGACGGCACAGAAATAAAACATTGCATGAAATAAAAAATTTTTATTCGAATTTGAATCGGACAGGTCGAGTTACACCATTCTTGGTCTCAAACTCATATATAACCTGTTTGTTTGTATTTTCGTCGACTATGACACGAGACACGAACATTGACCAAACGGACAAAAAGTGTCATTTCAGATGGTCCCGCAGCCAATCGCATTCGAGCACTTCGAAGAAGCCTTACGTTCCAAGGGAGAGGGTGTCTGGTGCAAGGCAGAGGTCATGAACTCTACGAGCAGTACATCCTCAATGCCTGGGAGGACAAATCGTCCTTGGATTGGCAATTCTACCAACTCCTCTGGGACGACCTCCTACGCAACTGGGATGACGAAAGAGTCCAATTCAGAGGTCGGGAGCTAATTGTCCAAATTACCCTTAATTTAACCCACTTAATGAACTAAACACCTAAATTTACTCGGGGTTTCCCCCTAAAATAAAATTTTTTTACTCTTAGAACCACTCGAGGTTCTCCTTACGGTTGTTGAGCTTGTCACCGTCAATGTGTCTGACCCTCGTCTTCTTGTCTGGATTTGGAACCCATTGAATTGCGACAAGCTTGCCCATGGAGATTGAACCGCGATTCCGAAGGTAAGGTTCAAGTGTCCCAAGTTGTTGAGGACTGGGGTAAGAACCTTGCCTGTCTCCTTGTTGCGGATTTGGTATGGGTAGGGTTGGGAAATTTCGTAAGCGTCATCGGCAACAAGGGTTGCCCAAACTTCCTCTTCTTCGTGTTTCTCTTCTTCCTCTTCTTCCTCTTCTTCTTCGTGTTTCTCTCTTCTTCCTCGACAATTCCTTCTTCAATTCTGTGTTCCACGAATTACGGTGTTGGAGGTTCTGTCCTTTCCGAGTACCTTCCAGATGGCGTCTATCTCTTCGAAGAAACGGTAGATGAGTCTGGCAAGGTCTCGGTTCTCTCTCGCGTAAATGCGCAAGGTTTCCGTCAAATCATTCAGGCATTTCTCATTGGAAGCTTGGTTCATGAGGACATCGGCTTTGAGCTTGGTCATCTCTTCCATAAGACTACTTTGGAGAGTCTTAACGGTGTTTGTCAGATGAGCTTTCAAATTCAAAATTTGAATTTGAACTGGGCGCTTGTCTGGCAACATTGAAAGGACATCTGCCATTGTGTTCGGCTTCGGTGCTTGTTCGGACATCGAAAAAATGAAGTGGTTTGAGAATGACGGTTTTACTTCAAAAAGCTTGTTATGACGGTTAAGTCATACAACAAGTTTAAAATAATATCTTGTTCTTCTTCTGAACGTTTGTTGTCTCTTCCGATAAAAGTTTCGAACATGAGAACCAAAAAACGTTTTTTGAGATTGCGGAAGAGTTCAGGCAAACGTTCATATTCTGGATATGTTGGGAGCAGTTCGAAACATCTGAGCTGACTTTCGGACAAAATTGGGACAATGTCAGAAAATTCATCTTTGGTCGGACTGCTTGAAGGTAAGTCCCTTACATGTAAGTAGCTCTGGTAAAGTCTTCTCATTTCTGCTAACTTTTGGAGTATAGCTTCGTAGTTTAGAAGTTTTAATTTTAATTGTCTTATTCCACTCTTTACTTCTAAACGGTAACTATCCATGAGGTCAAGAGTAGCTTTGGTAGCTTTAAGTGGAGCTATCTGTTCCTTGACTCTGCAATTTTGGTTGCAATTGTGGTTTGAGCTCCTTCAAGTTCGCCGTCTATGTCGTTCTCAACGCCTTCAACCATGGCTTGAAACTCTTCATCGGTCCATTGAGATTGGTGTGGGACGAATTTAACTTGCTTCATTCAAAAAAGAAAAAAAAATGTTTTTACTCAAAGCGTGCCATATAGATGGCTATAAGAAACTTACCAGAAGGCTTCTTCTTCACATGAGTCTTCGGCAACTTGAGTTTTGTTGGAGTTGGGTCTGGAATTTCAATTCTCTCTCGAGCGCAACAACAGATGTCAGAATAACATTCCCCACTGTCTTTCTTGCCACCATAAATTGTGTATTGACCGAACTTGCATTTGCAGGAAGACCGGTCAATACAAGGTTCACAGTTGAAATAGTTGTACAC